AGACAAAGGCAGAGAGAGAGAGAGAGAGAGAGAGAGAGAGAGAGAGAGAGAGAGAGAGAGAGAGAGAGAGAGAGAGAGAGAGATGGCACCCCGTCCACTGGGTGACGGTCAGAAACTGAAGTCCTGGTCTATCAAGGCAAAGTTGGATATTATCAACGGGTGTTAAAGGGAAAGGGTTCAACATTGTTGGGAGGAGATATGGGGTTGACAGACAAGTTGGAGCAGGCTTTGAAAAATACCATGACGAACAGTAGAACGCAGCGGCGGCTTGGAGGTGGAGGGCGGAAGCCTGAGCATGAGGAACTGGAGGAGCAGCTCGAGCAGTGGGTTTTGCAGAAGAACACAAGGGGTCTTAGAGTCAGGGATCAATACATACAGGCAAAAGCTCGATTGATTTTTAAGCTGCAGAAGGAGAGGGACGAGGTGGAGGAGGATGCGGCCTTCGATGGGTCAACGTGCTGGATGGCGCGCTTTAAGCGCCGAAAGGGGTTTGTATCGCGACGACACACAACCTCAAGGACCTTGCCTTCCAATGCTGCAGACACATGCAGAGCTTTCATTGACGAAATTCACAGTGTCATTGACAAGCATAAGATTTCCCCGCTTAACATTTTTAGTATGGATCAGGTCCCGCGATACTTTGAGACAGAGCCGTCATCTACAATCACAAAGCGATGGACACGTGAGGTGCTGATGCGCAAAGCAAACAGCTCACACAAACGCTTCACGGTCACTTTCACCATCTCCATGGCTGGTGAAATGATGAAGCCTCACCTTCTTTTCGCGAAGTTGAAGAACAAGCCAGGCGTGGAAGGGCCGGTGGCTGTTGATGTTAACATGACGGGGATGTGGAGTACGGACACAATCATCTCATTCATCAACGACACAATTGCATCAAGGAAAGCGGCGACATTTGGCCGCCAACCTGTTCTTCTTATCATTGATAGTTACGGACCTCATGTGAAGGTGGCTGAGAGTGAAAGGTTGAAGAAGATGAATATCCACGTTTGTATTGTCCCTCCCAACCTGACGGGTATTCTCCAGCCTCAACCTGACGGGTATTCTCCAGCCTCTTGATGTTGCTGAATCGGTCTTTCCAGCAATCTTATGAATGCCAGTATGATGCATACATCTCCAAGGCTTTGGAGGACCCATCCTTGCAAACAAAGATGGGCAATCCGAAGACCCCGACGTACCAGATGGTTGCAGATTGGGTCTGCCTGTGGGCAAAAACCAAGACAAAGGAGGATATCGCACAAGCATTCACAATGCGTGGTTTGGTGTGCAAGGAAGATTTTGATGTGGAGAAGTTGCACCCGCCGCTGAGAGCACTGTACAACGATGTGGTCAACATTGACGACTGGAATGATCAATATGCACAAGACTTTGCTGAGGCACCAGTGCCTGTGAACATGGATTTGCTCACTGCCCCAGAGTACTTTATTCTAGAGGATACGTTTGACGGTCAGCCTAATAGTTACTGGCAATGCCTTCGTCGCGCTGTGTTGGGTAGAGCGTCATCCGTTACTTGTGCAGAGTTTCGCTCCAACACTGTGAGTTACATGAAGACAATGGAAATCCTTGCTGACATCACTGACAATGCATACTTCGTTGATCTTGCATCTGGTACGACCTGCGATGAGGAGTACATAGCTTGTGCAATTAGTGAGATCCAAAACGTGACTATTCGCATCCAAAGGAGGGAGGACTCAAGTTACCGAACTTTTGAGCGTTCGGACACTGCGGGCATAATTGATCTTGTGTGTGTGGATGGTTTCTATGTGCTGAAGTTGTAAGACTGTTTCAAGCTCGAGCTTCCGATTGTATAAATCATACGTAGCTTTTTTTAGAATTGCATGATTGCTTAGCCAAAGCCGGGTAATGGCCTCGGAATTTCAAATGTGGTTCATATTCCAATGCATTTCAATCGGACGTTGAGCCCGATTCTCGGCACGTGATGCTCCACACGAATAGATTGGAGTTTTTGTTCCAAAAAAAAAAAAAAAAAAAAAAAAAAGTTACAGCAGCCTGAGAGCTGCTTGGGTCTGTAGAGAAAGACCTGCATACTCTTCAGCCTGTAAGCTAAGTTGGATGATGCTTCCAGTAAAATTGTTCAGTTTTGCTTGTCGCAGCTGGCGCCCTGGATAGGGTGAAGAGGCCTGAAAGTTGCACTTTTGAACTGTCTAGAATGATGTTTGCCATGGGACGCTGGACCCGGTTTCCAGCACGTGCAACTCCCCACAAATAGATTGGAGTAATTGAAATGCAAAAAAAAAAAAGTTGTTCCGGAATGTGATGTAGAGGACCCCGGCCTCTAACTTGTTTTCAAGTAATCAAATTTGAACTTTGAGGGGGAAAATAAAATAAGAAATGATGCATTGCACATTAAACATTGCATTGAAAGTCGTCCCAAAGGTTCAGATCTGCTTCCCCCTCGCCCCACCCTTCTCTCTCCCTTACTTGGCTAAACTGTGTAAAGGATTGACTTAGTTGATTTTAAACAAGCTGCCTCAGGCCATTCAAACTCCCCGCAAGTCAATGTATATCGCTGACAGGAAACCGGGCTCACTCCTGACTCCTGAGCGAAACACGTGATCGCAGTGATTCGAATAGAACACCCGTGTGCTTTATTCGAATAGAACGCCCGTCTGTTTGAATAGAACATACGTGCGTACTATTCGAATAGAACATACGTGCGTACTACTTCAACGTGCGTACTATTTGGAAATCAGGGGCCAACTCTGAGAATTTCAGTTTTCCAGGGAAAGTTGAATAGTACATACGTGCGTTTTGTTCGGGGGAAGACTGTAGGAACCAAACTGTGTATGACATCTGGCCGACACCCCGAAGCCAACGGTTTGGCTGAGGAGATCAACCAAACTGTATTCCAACTTCTCCGTGCGTTGATCATTCCGGATCAGGAGACATGGGATGAAGAGTTGTATTCTGTCAAGGGGTTGTATAACAACTCTGTCCATTCTGCCACCGCCATGGCACCCAACAGGTTGCACTACGGTTGGCAGATCCGTAATCCGCTCTCCTACTTATTCCCTAAGCAGTCAGTTGGCTTAACACCCGGCAGGCCCGGCTTCAGGGCTAAGTATGATCGCTTGCTCAAAGTTGTTGTTGCAGCTATGACCAAGCGACAACACGCCATGATCCACCATGCAAACAAAAAGCGCTGACCATCGAAGATTCAGGTAGGAAGCTATGTCTGGGTGAAAATGTTTGAATTCTCAGAGGAAAAGGGAGTCTCACGCAAACTCCTCCCACTCTACTACGGGCCTTGGGAAGTTTTGGATGTAATTGGGGAAGATCACTTTGGCCCTTCGTATGTTGTAGACGTGCCTGCTCACCTGCGCACATATCCTGTGTTCCATGCATCTAAACTGTACATCCATCGTGATGCTGAGACATTCGATTACCACGAAGATATGATCCCTCGCGCAATCAAGGGCGGGCATGAGATAGATAGAATTAAACAGCATGTAGGTAAGGGGAGAAACAGACAGTACCA